GTTACTGATATTTCAGTATCGCGCTAGGTATAGACCGATTGATTTCGTAATATAAAGATTGACATTCGAAACCTAATGGCTTCATGAGAATAATACTAGTACCTGGAAATGAGAATAAAATTGCAAAATATTTTTATGATAAATTTTATGTAAACCACTAACAAACCAAATCATAGAAAGAGACAACTGTTGCATATAAACAAGAACGTAGTGCTGTTCTTGTCATTCTCGTCATCACGTCGAAACTGGACGCCCGTGGTATCACTCAATTACATTGCCATTCTTTAGACCTCAAGTGCTCAACGGCTAGTGTACTATTTATATATAAAAATTCAAACACCATGTAGTGTAGTGGCCAAGAAAATACTTCATTCTTTGTTGTCAACAAGTCATTTATAACAAAGTCATATAATAGCATTTGTAGTGTCTACTTTACTCTTTGTATATTTCATGTTATAAATATAATAAATGAAATTCCAGCTATTTTTAAATCTCCGACCGTCTCGGGTCTCGATTTTTAAACGACACTCATCTAAAAAATAGGCTCTTTAAATTCACACACAATAATTATGTAGATGAGAGCGTACCATGGAAACGAGAGGCACAATTTTTTTTTGTTGAAGCAGAGATTATTTCATACTTGAATTTTATTCTACATATATATGTATGTATTTATAACAAAAATATGTATTAATGTACTTCTATTAGTAGGTCAGTATAATACAAATTCTGCATATCTTGGTTCTTGATGGCGCTGTATGTATTGTCCAGTGTTACTATTTTTATTATTCTCTACAAAAATTTCGTCTAGCTGTAGTTTTGTATTACAGAAATAATATTTTATATTATATTATTTAGAAAATACGTACTACTACTAATAACCGAAGTCTCTCTCTAGTAAAACAATTTCTCCTACGTTTTACTTACAACAACTAAACTTAATTAAATTTATTTATTTAATTGAACATATGTACATGAAGGTCTTAAAATCGTCATTATTCCAAACATTGCTGCTGCTGTTTGCAGCTTGTAAATTACAATGATATTTATTGAATATCAACATTGTTTAAAATTATGTTATTCTGAATTATATTAATAATAATTTCTCACAATTAACGTGAAATGTAGACGAAATTAATATAGGACTTATTCAATCACTAAACGCCCATTCAATTTGCGAAGAAAAGAAATTCGAAATCACATTCCAGAACATGAAATTACCGGAATACTTTTTTTTGTTCAACGATTCCCGTTGTGTCGACGCGACGTGACTCCATTCTCACCTAAACTTCGACTTTTAATACCCGGCGTTTTTCACTTGGAAATTATAGCGAGATTTAATAGCAGTTTTGTATAAAACCAATATTTTATAAAATGTCATAAAAACCTTTATGGCTTTTATCTATATACCTAAACAAAAGAACACGTAATTGATGACTATGCAGTGGCGCGCTAACGCTATAGTTACGCTATCGGGCCATCGGTAGAGAATGATAACTTGAAGTTGAACTTAACTCTGTGGTCGAATTCACCATGTATGACCACCGTGATTTTCAAAGAGGCTGCGAATAGATCGAAATTTCCTAGCAATGTGGCTAATACACAATACGAACAATTACCTTCGCAAAGAAAAAATCAAATCCTAATATATGTAAGTTTAGAACAGCTATATATATATACATCGACACAACGGGCATCGTTAAAAAAAATGGAGGTATATCGGTAATTTCAATACATAATGTAACCTGCAAAATACGACACCCAAATAAGCCCTACGTAACGTGACCATTTTCAGTTGGATCTAGCCCTTTCAAGGTACCTACTTAGTAATTCTAAGCATCTTTTCCATTTAATCCAGAATAACTGGCTATACAGTTTCTGATTATTAAGCTGATGAGGCGATTAAAATGTCGCAAATAAGTTTTTAACTATGCCCATTTAAACTCTTAATCCATTTTATAATACCTACTTAGTACTCTTATTTCTAACAGCTTAATTTAAAAATAAACTGATGTATCCTTAAAAAATGTCTAAATTTTAACGTAAATATATTACGACGTACTTTATTTATTTATTAACTCTTTATATGTAATACAAGAATTATATTTAACAGGGTAATTAAGGTACCAAAGGCAGTCTTAACGCTCAAGCAGTCTCTTCCAGTTAACATAAATCTGAAAGAGTTTGATTGCTCTATGAAAAGAATTAAAAAATACAATATTGTATTTATTCAAATAAATCAAAGCAGTAAATGGATAGAATCACGTGTCACTTGCCCAGCTCTTCATTGTATTTTGAGTATTCTTTTCAGTCATGGTTTTTGCCGTATTGGTTTCACAGTAAGTCAGAATTGGATATATTTTATATAGTTGGTGGAACCAGAATACAAGGAAGTTTACTTAAACCTAAGTCAATAATAATCTCTGAAATTAATTTATCAAATTTATACTTCAGTGAACTGAATTATAATCAGCATTAATTGAATGATCACAATACAATTTAGCCGTAGGTAAATTCAATATGGCCAAGATATTTTAGCTCAAGTTGCGTGGAATGTCTGGGGTTAATTGCAATTATCTTCAAACGTACGATGGTGTAACTAGCGGTTATTACACTATCCTATTTATAGTATCATATCTAGATCAATTTATCAGTATATGAAATATTATTATATATTTAAAATATGACCTATATTTTGGTTTTGTTTTTGGTACATAATTGTAAAGTCGGTTTCCGTGGGATTGAAAAACTTTTGGGAGTAGTTATTACTTAAATTCGATAAATTAATATTTATTAATTATCAAAACTTATTAATATATTCTAAAAATCAGAATTACTACGTTATAATGATATTATTAATAAGTTCAATTTACTTAAATTACACATTTTGTTGCCGTTGTAAAGTTTAAAAAAAATATTAGTATAAGCTGTCTAGTACAAGAAAATATTATATATATTTTCCTAAAAATAAAAACAATAAAGTAGGTACTAAAAATAGGTAGTTACGGAAGAGATTGATCTTTACAAAAAATATACTGATAGGTATTTCTGAAATCCTATTACGAGTATAATGTATGTAAACTCTTTAAATAAAACCATATAAATTGTATGTTGAAATTATAGATCACATTATGTACGGAATTAATTTTAATTGGATTTTACAATAACGTACCTACACACAATGTAGCATACGACCAAAACAACATTTCTTAGAGCTTCTAATTAACCATTTTAATTAAGATTTCGTTTGGTTATGTGAATTTGGATTTTGTAGGTACAGATAAAATACGACAGCTACACCAAGTTTGTTTTCTTAAATGTTGTTGTACTTATATTCAAAGTACTTACATCTATATGAGTATAATGAAATAGATCAGAGAGCTGTAAAAAAGCGCCCTTATTCAGAAATAAACGGTCATAGATTTACGATTTAAACATTTTCCTCTATGATATGGTTTCTATCTGTGCTAGGTTATTTTATTTACTACCTACATTAAAAAGTAACAATGAACTGTCATCCGCACCATACAACAACGCGCAGAAGTTAAAAGTAATATCGTACGTAACCTATTTTGAGACTTTAATATCTACTATATTAAAAGAAAATAAAGATGATATGTCTACAACACACAGTGACTGGAAATGAAAATGTACAACACGTAAATCGGATGAAGGAAAAACGAGATTTACAATAATAAAACACGACGCTGAAAGCTATAGGTAGATCCGCTATAAAGGATTTGTAAGTATGTTCAACTGCAAACCACAGCATTCCTTTCCTAAGTTAATATATACACGATACCTATACGTAAATACCGACACACGAGTTCCGCCATTCGCTGGTAAATTGGAAATTAAGTAGGATCGTTTTAGAAACGCATTTAACATTTTAACCCCGAATTACGGCAGGCTCCACGCTTATTGACTTCTACATAATATATATATAATTTACGACTATATATGATATTCAAAATGTACTGCAAATACAAATATTAAAAAATCAAAAACTTTTAACTTAATTCTGTTTCACTAATTCCTCAGTTATCGGCAGGGAAAGGGGACCAATGAAGAGAAATAAAAATAAACAAATAAAATATATTTATGTTCACTATTCTAAATACTCTACATACATGCCGTAACGATTGGTAAAGCCATTAAGGCATAACATAATTAACACAATAAACACAATTTATAATATATATTATTTAGAATATATGTGCTATTTTTGTTTATTTGTGCAAATATTGTGGTTTTTTGTTATTTCTAATATACTCTTGGAAATAATAGTTCAACAGCATTCAGCAAATGAAATTATTAATTGTTCACATATGAGTAATTTCATTAAAAACTTTAAACGAAAAGTATACATATGTACAAACTATCAAACAAAACAACGAAAATGGAACAAAACAAATGTTCGTTATTCATCTCAACTCAAACATGAAAATAAAACAGACATAACGGAAGTTGACGCAATAAATTAGACTAGCATGAGCCACTTTCAAAACAAAAGCCATTTCTCTACAATTCCAGACACGTCCAGTAAAAAAAGCAATATATTTAAGTTAGACGGGATCACTCGGAGCATACACATAATTACTAACGTGTCTGAACGGTGTAATAAATCATGGCGGAATAGGATTAGTACATAATTTAACTTAAAACGAAGTTTTGCCTCAACCGCACACCCTCAGTGAAATTACTATTATAGTTAGATATATTGTTTTAACATTTATATATTACACCTATCGAAACTGTAATTACGTAAACACTGCTACTGGCAAACAATAGCATATTAAACATATAATTAATACAAAAAATACATTCGTTAATATAAATATATATTTTTGTTCTTAGTTTAAAGTATATTGAGAAGGTTCCTATTAGAATTTATCCTTTTTGATGTCGACTTGTAAAAGTAGTAGTAACAAAAAAGTTCCATCAGGTTTCAACAAGTTATCAACTTCTTCACGATTCTACTTACATAAAAACATATGTACCTGTAAGAAAGGACAGCCGCCGCATTGCAGGAAACGGGTGGTTTCCAGATGTATCCAAAAGATCTAACTGGTATACCTCCCCTCGAATTCTGTACAGCTTTCGGTGGAAGTCCTCAATGGTTGGCGTGTAGCTATCTTCAAATTTGGTACCAAGAAACCTCGCTACAAGAGAGGTCTTGCCAACTCGCGCTGATCTGAAAGAGAAGGGAGAAAGGTTCAAACTACGATTGGATTTACAAATTCTAATAGACCTACATGAATTAATTAAATTAAAAATTAAAATAATAAAAAAAACATTTAAACATTGTATATTTCAATGACTAGTAAAGTGTACTAATCATTGGAGTTTAATGTTTGTTTATTTGTCAAAAATAAACGTTTAAAATATAAATCGTTTCCAGAATTTATATATTGGTACCGATGACAAATTGGCACCTTTGAAACCAAGTTGTTAATTTTTCTAGTCCGAGAAATCGGACTAATATATCAGATTCGGAATCGGGATGTGAGTAGAGGCTTTAATGTAATTTAATTTACTCCAGAGTTGAGCAGACAATAATATAGAAACCCAGTGAACTTATAGAGTGAGTGATCGTTTTTTATAAGCAAACTTTGTAAATATCTAATTACATGCAGTATTAATTTTTAATTAATATATTATTTTCAATGACATTTTCAATGAGCATCTTCATTGAAACATAGAACACAATATATTTTCATTTAATTAAATCCCTATTTTACGTTTGATATTCAGGTGTATCCGGCTCTCATTGCAAACCTGAAATATTTCAACTCAGCTGAATATCGATTATCACTCCCATTCATCATTATATACAAGTAAATTTTCATTGACGGAATAAATCATTTTACATTGTTTCCTGTGAGGTGGTCAGGGGTGCTGGCAGTATGCAGTGTACTGTAAATGCTTATTGTTCCTGTCGATAGGCGATTGTTACTACTATCATCTGCCACTGGTTGTTTGTACTACTATAGATTCTATAAATAGTCATTGTTTTTGTTAGCTTTTGTATATACATATCACTCTTTGTTATTAATGATTGAAATAAATGTTAGTGGAAAGTCTAGTCGTTGCATTATTTAATTCCTGAATTTATAGTCACATATCGGTTTAATTATTACAATTAACATCATTCCTCTTAAGCTGTAATTTCACTACTCATATATATTACATGTAAAATCTAATATTATGTATTATACTATGATAACAACATGTGCGATTCGATTCTGATAGTGTAATATCACCTTAACATTCCCATACAGATAGCTACTTACGAGTTCAGCGTGCTCGCGGAGTTCCAAGAACTTCGAGATTTCGATTTACATACAAGCAAACATAGCAAAATACACACAGTCTCTGTTTATTTAGGACTAACTTATCTCTTGGCTCTTAAGGGGTCCATGTTAAATAAACAACATTACTAGAAATCGCACAGGGGCGATATCAATATATTATTTAACTAGCTTCTGTCCGTTACTACGTCTGCATGATATTACTGGTTGGGTTTAAAATTAGCCCTTTTCTCTATTCAAAATGAGATAGATATGGTAAATTTTATCATTTATAGTATGAAAACATTAGAACCTTTTCTTCTTCTTTCTTTCCCTTCTTTCCCCTAATTCATTCACTTCGAGGTTGATTTTTTAAATAAAAGCTAGCCTATATCCATCCTAGTAATACAATTAAAGATATATTAAGATAATAAAGATATTATTATTATTAAATAGACAGACTGGATCTCTTTCGCATTCATAATATTAGCACAGATAACATAATATTATATTAGTATGGGTTTATATGTAGAATGAATGCTTCCCCATCGGCTTGGTTTCAAGCGGATACAAAATACAACAATTAACAAAACACCGGTATTTTATTTATTATTTGTAAATTGTATTACGCCTTTTAGAAGAAATTATAATAGACAAAGCAACATCAAAGAGCGTTACGTAGTTGTAGCTGAAGAACTTCACAGAAAAAGAGAGTAATGTCTCTCTTTTGGATATACAAACTACATTGTATGTATATCTAAAATGAGCTATAATGTCAATATGAATCTCATTGAAACGGCAATGAGGAATACAGCTGCTGCGCAATGCAGTGGCTGTTTTCAGTACAAAAAGTTCTCTATTCATATCTCCCACATGAAAAAGTTATGTACTGAAACTAGTACGTTTAAAACAGACGTGTTTTTCACTCGGTCCAGGCAATATCCATGTTTCTATAACTTGTAATGAGAACGGGACAAACATGATAATATATCGTGATAAACTTTAATTTACATATCATAAAATCTTCAAATTTGGGTCAACATTGAGACGACATTTCCTTATCCTGTATGGCGTAAATGTCCCCAAAAAGAGATATACTAGTATTTTTTTCTTATATGTAAATTTTAAATACGCCTAAATAATTTCTAAATTGAAATTAATTAAATTATGCAAATACAATACACGTACACTTATAATGCATGTACTTAAAAATTGCGTGCTTAATTTAATTCACGTAGCAACCGCAATTAATTTTGTCACATTAATCAACGGAACGTTATCGACCAGGGAAATTGGAGTTACAAATAAAATTGCCGTAAGCTGATATGGGAAACGAGAACGGTAATCCGAAAACGCAACTATTATACACATATCTACTCGTAACATGTTCGTTATCTATTTAATTGTCGGGATGTTGCACAAAAACGTTTTTTTATAATAATAATAATGTAGCATTACTAGAAATTTCTGACTTCCTCAATAATAACATCTTCATATAGCCTAACCTCTCCCACAATTGGCTGATGGATCCCACAAGTGGTTTAGCACGCCGCTTTACGTGCTAAACCACTAGATCATGTGTGACGCCCATGTTATTCCTCATATGTTGCTATTCCGCAGGACTAAGGCATCATGCCTTTAAATTAACTATGTATATCACTTTTCAAGCCAAAATATAGTTGACAAAAAATTGACAAAGATGCTTGTAGTGGCAGAAATAGGTAGAGTTATATAGACTTTGTACGGAGTCTACGTCGTGACTAAAAAGATACGTATATGAATGGAAACCTCGAAACATATCTTTATTACTTTCAAGATTCTACAATGACATAAAAGTACCTGCAAATAGTTGCCACTTGAATCTCTCTTACCCATCTATTATTGCTCCTTAGAACTATGTACTACCACTTCACAAGAAAGTTATTTAGTGAATACGTAAGCAAAATACTAAATAAAAATTAGGTCTGGCTAATAACAAGACGAGCGGAGTTGATTCTCCGAATTTTGTTTGGAAACGCGGAGTCGGAAGGAAATGGAACATGAAAATTAGCCATGATGAACAAACAATCTGACAAATATCAACATATTTGTTTTGCCTTCGCAGCGAAATACATGGAGCAAATTACTCGGATAAACAGAATACGTGTCAATCTAAGACAGTCTAACGGACGAGTAGATGGTAAATGTTATGTAATTAATAAAATAAGAACCCATCGTTTGGATATTGCGCCGTTAGGCAATATTATCAAAATTCAATTTGCAATAATTTATTACATTATTAAACATACATCAATATCGCCCACTGGAGTAACTTGAAACAATGAAACGCCACAATGCTCCAATACATACAGACCTTTGGCGTCCTTAGTCAGGTTACCTAGTCTATTTGATTAATATACAATCGCATAATTAATTTGACAGTCCTCTCAAAATTAGGTATACTTATTACATTTTCCTTTCCACTCAAAACGCTGTCGATCAAATTATCATGAAACGAACGCTTAGTATTTAGAACTCGTATTTAATTATCTTACTACCGTCGCAAATAATCAATCAACGCTCCGTCGTAGCGTCGACGACGTGATGAAAATAACTTGAAATATAAAAAAAATAAGTTTCCAGCCGTTGCCTCGCCAGACTCCCTCTGGGACTATACATTTTTTTTCTAATTTATGTATCACTTAGACGCTATAGAGTGTAATGGAATACATTTCCACGCGAGTACCTACCAATTGGCAATTTGAAGTAGGCTAGTTGAAATCTTACGACTATGTCCTTGTCATAGTATATTTTTTATGTAATAGGAATGGCAAACAAGCTTGCAAACGGACCACCTGATGGTAACCGTTGCCTATATACATTAACAGCAACACGGACATCGTTACACACACACATTATCATGTGACATCCACAACATCTAACTCATGCCATTCCTAAAGACTAATATGTCACGCCTCTTATCCTGTAAATCCAATGCCTCAATCTTACGCCACAACCAAAACATATCTAACAAAAGCAAGCTGTTTGGCGGCTATATAAATTTCCCTATCATTTATTACGAAATTATAAATGTATACACACACATGAGGTTGTTCTGATATATGGATCTAAACATGAACGATATAATTACTGATATATCTTATGGGGTTCCCTTTTTTCCAATATCTTCACCACGCTAAAAAAACTGATTATTTTTATTTTTTTTTTTATTAAATAACCAAATGTAAAGTATTTAATAAAAAAAAATCACTCTATGTATATATTATATCGGTACTTTCCAGAGTATCGTTTCTGGATAGATATAAAATTAGATAAGGTGGCAAACATGACCAGTCTCGTATCTTACAATGCTGTTACCTGAGAGAGAATAGAACGGATCTTAAATTAATGACTAACTACAGAGAAACCTCGTTAGCATGAAGCTGTTGTGTGAACCAAAATGTCCTTTGAGCCAAAGGGCTATGATAGTGTCGTCTAAACAAGAACAATAGTAAACTTTAAAGTGGAGTAGCCGTTTCTAAGTTAACAATTACTGTTGCTATGTTGTAAACTTTGAAGTAACCTACTTTACAGTTAACTATTTTATTAAAATATAGGAATGTGCAAGTGCAGCAAAAGAACAATGTTACAAACATATACGATCTGAATTAAGAAATAATATTTTATATTATATACATATAGTAACAACATTTTAATCAGTTTCAATGATTGATTGGCATGTCTATTCTCAGCTAAGGAGGATTTAATTTATTATATTTATTAACTGGCAGATATATCGGCGCAGAATGGTTTATTTCAAATTTTACTTCTATTTGCTACAAGAGTAGGTGTAACGAATGTACTATAATTTCTTGTCTTTATTTATGTATCAGATAAATCTCAGAGTCGCTTTTTAAGACAAGAA